GATGCACGAAATATTAATGAAGGAATGTGTTTCTAAATTTAATTTTCCATTTTCTCAAGTCAAGTATGAATTATTCAAAAATCAAGAACAAAGTATTCGATACATATAAGGTTTGATTGTATCACCCAACTCAGAAAGTCTACGGCCGCCCTTGCCCAATTGCTACATTAAGTTTGACTTAAATCCTATTTTTAATACCCTGGAGGCCCTTTTCCCCACTGCACCAACACCTGGCTTGGAACATTATTGACATGTATGACTTGTTCGGTAAAGTAGACAGCAATTCATAATCAATATATATATATTAGAAAAGAAAAGAAAAGAAAAAAGATTTTATATATTGTGTGACGCCGAATATTGTGTATGAAAGATGCATTTTATGATTTACTTTATCAGACGAGCAAGAAATAGTTGTGAAGAGACATTTTGAAAGTTCAAGGCACGGTGCAAACAAATTTAAGAATGAGATTATATTAGTTGCCAAGCTTCAACATAAAAAAATTAGTAAGAGTACCAAAATTTTGCTTGAAAGGAGAAGTGAAGATACTCATCTAGCAATTTGTGTCCAACGAAAGCTTTGATTATTTTCTATTTGGTTAGCATCAATGACTTCTTTTTTCTTGTTTATATTCAACTTCCTGTCCATTGGCTGACAACAAAAATGCATTCTTCAAGGAATATAGATATACAATTTCTCAATACAATATATGCAACGTTTCCATATAATTAATGGATCAGCTGGTCGGTATTGAAACTGGAGGTTCCATATTCGGGTCGGTGCTAGATTATTCCTGTTAAGGGGATGGATAATACATGAGAATGCTTAAAACGAGAGGGCACAAGGGAGTGGGCTTGCGTAGATTCTCGAACTTGATTTTAGATTATATATGGTGGATTGTGTTTATGTCATAACCTATAATTTTTGGACGAAGTGATGACAATAGCATAAATTTAATTGATATCAGAGTTGGAGTTCAATGTTCAAATCGACGCTGGAACATTTCTATTGAGTGGGTGGATAATTCACACGAATCCTTGAAACAGAAGTTGGCCCAAGGGGAAGGTATATTCCCGAACTTGATTTTGGGTGATTTGCATTGGTCTCATGAACTATATTTTTTGGGTAATGTGATGACATTACACTGCATCTATTTGTGACTTAGTACATGTTTGGTACAAATTTTTTAAAACTCTTTTTTTCCCTAATCTTGCACATAAACATAATTTTTTTAAGTTCTTTTTATCACATATTTCCAAATAATAATAATAATAAATAAATAAATAAAATTCACTTTTAATATGAACTTTTTATGATGTTGAAACTTCTAATCCAATATGTCAACCTCGGCAAATTTGACCAGTTAATTATATTTGTCAAGTTATTACATTTGTAACATCCTATACCTACAGTCTAGTCTATAGCTTATTTGCTTCAGTCCAACTATTCTAGAACACATGGAAAGTGATCCTCTTACGGTCCCGCTACAGGTACAGGGAAGGCTTTACCGAACCGATACAGGGATTTAAATTAGCTGACGTGGCGCACCCCTGTTAAAAAAAAAACAAAATAAAAAACAAACAAAACAAAATGAAGGGAAAATGGGAAAAACGAAGGGAAAATGAAAACATTCCTCCTTCATGCCCTAGATTTGCCGACATCAAAACCCAACGCCAATCAAATCTCAACCGGCCGTCGCACTAATCCGGATGCAGTGAAATCAACCAGCGCCCAAACCTGAAGTTCGGACCAGTGGCGAAGCAACGACGAAGGCAACTGTTAACCGACGGTGAAATCGACCGCTGCAAATCTTAACCAAACGTGAAATCGACGGTCGCACTACCGTGCCCTCAGTTCGATGACGAAGCAGCGAAGAATATTATAAGCGTCTCGTTCTCCGACGGCGTGAGATGGTCTATAAGAAACCGTGTTGCGTTGAGTTGAAATATCTTCAAGAGAGTAAGTATTTTTTTTCCCTATATCTAGATTAACACTGTTTTTCTTCTTGATTTTGTAATCACGTGAAGACCCCGTTTGTAGTAAATGAGAATACTTTTTTTTAGCGTTGAGGAATCTGTTTGCTGTAGTGAACTATAGCTTGCTTCGTTGGTGAATTTTGTAAGTGATAAGGCAATGAAGAATCTGTTTTTGGTTCATTGGTGAATTTAATTATTTGTACTCTTGTGATTTTTGAGGTGTTCTGGGATGTGAGTTTGAAGTTTCTTCATATGGGCAGTGCTGATTTCTTGTTTATGTGAAACTGATGTATGTATTTTTTTTAACGTTGAAGATTTATGGATTTGGAAGTTTGATTTGGAAGTGGAAATCTGATACAATTTATAGAGGTCTGTAATTGCTTCACTTGCATGTTAATCGTGTCTTTCTTTCAATGAATCAGAATGTTGTCATTTATTTTTCATCCTGAAACCCCCTGCAGTTATGATTCACATGGTTTCATTTGCAGTCATCCAGTAGAATGAGAGGAAGAAATTTTGGAGTTTGTCATGGATGTAGAAGCACCACTCACTATTTCGGACAATGCCAATCAAAACAACAATGCCCTAGTTGTGACCGCGGATATCGGAAATGTTTTGAGGTCGAACGGGATACCGGCAACAAAGGGCATTTGTTCTTCACCTGTAGCGATGACTGTGGATACTTTGATTGGGTGAAAGATGAAACTTTAGGCGAAGAATTGAGTTCCGTTAATCGTCCGGTGAATCATGTGCCCGACAAGGAAGACGAAGAGTTGCCAAGACTGTTTGATGGACTAGCTAAAATTAGCGAGAAACGAGGCGTCGACATATCACTTACCATGACTTTTAGCAGGGGAAAAGAAATTGTCAAATGCGACGAGCAAGGAAAGGGGTCGGGTTGAGGGTTTATTTATGTATGTAGTTCATAAATTGATGTCCTTGTTCTCGGGTACAAATGTTTTGCAAGCGTATATTGTTTGTTTAATTCTCTATTTGTTAAAGCCTTAAATTTATGAGAGTGAATTAATTCAATATTACTTATCTAAAATGGAATTCCCCAGCCTTTTATCTTGGATGAAAGTGTAAATTTTGCATCTGGCAGAAGGCACCCAAATGTGTACGTCTACTCGGTGGTAGTGGAGGAGTTATCTAATGGGGAAAGATATGGAATTGTGTGGACCGAATTTGGATAATTTTCGATTCAGATTCAAGCATGACCAATGAACACCAACCTAATTTAATTAGACTTATTACTAGTTTATGTTTGATAAAAATCGAATTTTTGTCAAAACTAGACTATTATGCATGCATTTGGATTTTCATCACTAAAAATGGAAGTGGCATTGCCATTAGATCCACTGTGATGCTCCTCAGTAATGTATGAGTATTCGTCTGCAGGTCTGCCATAATACTGTGCATATGTAGGAGGCAAAATAATGTATGAGTATTGGTTCACAACTTGCCAAAACCATTTGTAACTCGAGCAGGCAAAGTAATTTAATTTGTTCATATATTGTTCATAACTTGGCAAAATATGATTCTAAAAAAAATGAGCAACTAGTACAGCAATCTAAACTCTATCATTTCATTTAGATACATCAAATATAATCAAGAAGTGTCCACCAAAAATACAAACATCCACTACCATTTGTTGGTTGATTTGTCCGCCTAGAAAGAGACGCTCCATTCCCTTTATCGTGTCCACCAACTTCAAAATGCTTGCACCTCTGTACGGCTAATGAAGATTAAAAATTTGTAAACATCACCGATATGTTTGATAAAGTAAATGACATGTGTATGTGTGTATATATATATGTAGAAACCTTTAGTATACACAAACCTTCCAAACGAGAATCACAAGCCTGTGCCACCTTCATTGGGCAAATGTGGATAGAAGTACGGCATGACTACACCTGTTTTCGAAAGTGAAAGTTTATGACACAAATTAATGAACAAGTAAGAAAATATCATTTGACAGAAGAGTCCATCGCTAGGATTATTACAAACCATGGGATATGTATAATTCATCAATATCCAACTTAAAAAGATATAATCTGTCTATCTTGCAAAGATTCCACAAAAAAATTGGAGAATTTAAAAATTCCACAAAAAAATCAAGAAGCAGCAATAATGTAAGTAGAATAACGTGGTCCCAACAACTTTAATCAGCCAACCAACTTTAGATACTTCCCTTTCAATTATGTGATGTATCATACATGAATCAATAGAATTATTCCGTAATTGCACTTTTAATGCATACCTTGAGCATTATGTACAACAGTTGGACAGCTTGGTGGATTGTCTAAAAATGTCGGCCGAATGAAATATTGTAATGGCGTCGGCATGGAACATGGTGGAAGTTGACCTGCCTAAACATCGCCTGACGTCTCTTCTGTACAACCACGCCTAACTGTAGGTCTCTTTCCTTTGCTGGAGGATGTGGTAGCCTGCACATTTGACAAGTAAAACGATTATCTGTTTAAGCATGCCAACTGAATGAAGCTAGTAATAGTAAAAAGTTACCTTTACTTTTTTTGAGCTGGACTCTAACGGGCCTTTTTTTCGAAGTTTCCTCGGTGCTCCTTTCGGTTACACGATACAGGATCTAATACGCTTGCATGACCACTTGCCATCTGGGCGTGACTAGCACTTCCGACACTTGACTTTGTAAGTCGCAATTCGTTTGCTTGTGATCTTATCCACTCCATTATACTGCATGCCCATCCTTCATCATTTGCTGCAAGGTCCGCCACCTCCAAGAAAGCCTGACACATTTCGTCATACCGCAACTGTCCAGGAGTATTTGCAAGTCCATCATAATTTACTGCGATTCTACTGTGTGCTCTACTGACATCTCTTCTCCATCTCCTTATTATATATCGATCAGGTATCGACGTGATTTTATTACGTAGTAAGACGGCAATCGCATGCCTACAAATGATTCCCCGAAATTCAAACAAATGGCAGCTACAAATCAATTCGTATGTATCCCTCCGAAATGATACGCTAAACGTTTTCATCTTGCGCTAATCATGAACTGCAACATGCTCATGAACCTCGTAGGTTGACCAATAACAGTCATTTGCAGTTTCAGTTATGACGTTGCAATATACCTTCCCAGTAAACTCGTCCTGCACTTCTTTGAACTTCGAAATGGTATATACTGCTTGAAATTGCCTTTCCATTTGGAAAATTGTCGCACAGGGCACCATTTGAGAGTACGATTTAAAATAAGCCTGAAACTCCTTCTCGACCTTACTTCGCAGTGCTCTCTCATATTGCTCGACAAACTGCTTGAGTGAGGTCTTCGAATGCACATACCCGTCAAAAAATGCATTCATACTCTCACTTCGTTGTGTAGTCGACATGCCTGCCCAAAACGTAGTTTTCAACAAACAAGGCACCCAACGACCTCTGTTCTCATACAATCCCGCTAGCCAATCATTATCATGTAAGTCGTATTTTTCGAGCATTAACCTCCAACCCTCTTCGAATTCTTGGCCATTTTCGGAATCATAGACCAATCCATGAATTGTAGAAAATATTGAGCTCTTAAGAATGTGATATCCAAACTTTTCAGGCAGCTTTTTCATAATATGCCAAAGACACCACCTATGCTTCGTGTTCGGAAAAACAATCTCAATTACATTTTGCATTGCCCGATCTTGATCAGTAATAATGCCATTAGGAGCTTGTCCATGCATGCACTCAAGCCATGTTCTGAACAACCACACAAAAGTCCCGGTGTCCTCATTCGATAACAATCCGCAACCCAACAGTGTGGACTGGCCATGATGATTCACCCCAACGAAAGGGGCGAACGGCATGTCGTACTTATTAGTCAAATAGGTAGTATCGAAAGTCACCACATCACCAAATTCCTTATAAGACTGCCTACATCTGTGATCTGCCCAAAAAACATTCTTTAGCCTGCATTCCTCATCTAAGTCCATGCTAAAGTAAAATCCGGAGCACCGTGCTTGCATCTTTGAAAAGTACGCCTGTATTGCGAAGGCGTCTCCTTCTCCAAGGCGTAATCGTCTCACCTGTTCAACGTAATTCCGACAATCCTTCTCCACAAAAGTAATATTCTCATATCCTCCAGCTTCCACAACCGCAGAGTTATAACTCTTGTGCAATGGAATTCCAGCCAAATCGTTTACTTCTAGCTTTCTTTTCACATTTACACTCAATTTTCAGTTGCATCGATACAACCTAGACTTGGAAGGACTCGTTTTATGATTGTGATCCAGCTGCACTTTATTAATTCTCCAAACTCCAAGAGAATCTAAAGATGCCGATATTCTTGCTTTACAGTCTATTTGACTTGTTGGTTGTGATTTCAACGATCCGCCCGTAGCATAACTCCTCCGACCTTCATGACTGCATGTGAACGTCACATATCTCATAACTCCATCTTCCCCTTTTTTGGAATTCCTTTTTCTTATTGGAAATCCTACAGCATAAGCATATCTTTTATAAAACTCAAACATTTCCTTCTCATCATTGAATATCATACCAACTGTAGGCACAGTTGCATCATCTCCTATATTTTCGCAGTCCAATGTATTCAAATTTTCCATAAGGGTCTCATTATCACATTCCAACAACAAATCTTCATTGCCGTCTTCCATAATCTCTTTTCCTGCCACAATAATTTATCATTGTCAGATTACCCAATCACAAACTTGTAGTTGCAGAATTAATCAACAAGCTGATTTGAAAGCCATATACATAAAAGCCATATATATACCAAAATTTCAGTCCAAAGTCAATGAAATCTTTGACAAACCGGGATAGTTAAATGTTAGTTTCAATATTAACGAGATCTGTATATACCAAAATTTTAGTCCAAAGTCAGTAAAGTGTTACTATCATTCTTCTATCTTCACCTTTTCTGCAATGTTGCTAACAGGACATTTCTACTGAGGTTGTGTATGTAAGATTGCAAATATGTTCATTTACTGTGCAGAATCATATGTGTTCCTTTTACAGAGTGATAGGGAAGGAAGAGTCAGGTCTTGTAGGGATAAATATGAAGATAAATCCGAGCATGGTAGGGGAAACAATCCCCCATCGCTTGCCTTTGGGTTGGCAATCTCTCGCACAACTTAACAGATAATGATTTGGCCCATCAATTTCTCAAGTTTGGGGACCTTCGAACTCTCGCATTTCACCCGGGTCGATCGTTCTTATGCTTCAATTAAAGTCAGAAATGAAAAAAATGCTTTTTGGACCAAATACCTCAAAACGTATAATTTATCTACCAACCACATTGCTACAATACTCGACAACAAAGGTTAACAGACTAACCTTTCGCTGGGGAAAATGGAGTCCCGCTTGGGGCCGGCGATGGTGGAGATGCGGCTGATGTTGGAGTTGGGGACGTCTTGCAGTTCGGGGGTGTCACTGTTGTCCGATTCGGGTTTCGTACTTCTTCAAGTGGAGATGAGAAGTTAAAATTTGATAGGTTAACCGGTCGGAGATGAGAGGAGTTGGTAGGGGATTGCTCTATTCTTTGAGATGTCGAAATGGTGGCGGGATTCTTCCTGTTCCCTCTTTCCCAGACTCATTCCTCCCGCTTTTTCTAAGTAAGTTTTGTTTTGTTTTAACATTTTTTAGTCAACGATCTATAACCTAACCTAACCAGCCACTGCCATGTCATTCTTTTTGAATTCTTGTAATTTTTCTGTTAAATCCTCCTGTACCCATAGCTTAATTCATCCTTTTATACCTTTTTAATACACTAAAGCCTCTTGTATATAATGACTTGACAGAAAATTTCCAGAAATTTGAATTTTAGGAAAAATGTGCTCCTCACTTGACCACAGCCTAGAGCAGATTTCTTTGACTTTCAAATGAATGTCCAACCCGAACCATAAGGGAAAAGCACATCACGTGAAGAAGCCAGAGAAGTCGCGCCAAAGTATTATTTTTTCCCGCTGGAGCTATTCGTGAAATTAAGCGCCGGTGAAGATGAAATCTCGAAATCCGGTGTAGGTGAAATCGAAGCCCTCACTCCTCAATTGTGAAGATGGTAATGCCCAACTCCGGCAATAGCCAAATTTACATTTCACCTACACTGGAAAACCAGGGGAGCCAATCTCAAGTAGTTGCCATTATGTTTTTATTGTTTCATTGTCCACTTAATGCATCTTGTTATTTATACCAGAGAAGCTTATATTTCCTTGGCGCATTAGCTTCTCTCCAAAATAGATTGTGATTAAGTTGAGCCTGTGTTGAGTTGAACTTGGAAGCCCATTGCTGAGGAAGATTTCAGTGCATATAGGTTATATATGAGATGTTAGGGAGAAGCCTTAAGAGTTTTTAGGAAATATCCAAAAGGGTCCATTTTGTCACACATTTTAGATTTTGTTAGGTACCTTTGCTTTCTTGTTCTGTAAAGGTTCCGAATAACATGTCAACTGCGGTGTGGAATTGGAATGTCTACATTTGCTTGCTGAAGTTGTCTACATAGAAGGTTAACCTTAGCAGTAGAGAGGTTTTTTACTTTCTGCTTACTGGAACCTGTTGGTAATGCGGACCAAAACATATTTCTGAACGTGTAATTTTCAGCTGTTAATAAATGCTATGGCTTCTGCTCCTCATTTTGATAGTGTTCTGTTTTGGCTGGTCATGCAGTGCTCCTGATTAACACAAACTTATGTTTTTTTTTTCCTTTGAATGATGTAACACTCTTGATTGAAAAGTGTTTATTGAATGTTATCGCTCAATATGTTATAGTAGAAGAAAATATGAAAAACAACCATGATGAATTTTTAGTGGAGAGAGATGTTGACGAGAATGTTGCGGACAATATAATATCAGTGGAAGAGCAAAAGTTAGGAGAAGATGGTCCGATGGTGCCGGAGGTGGGTATCACGTTCAAGGATGAGAAAGAATTTTGGGACTTCTATAAAGGATATGCATATTATGTTGGGTTTCCAGTTAGGAGAAAGAATTCGAAAAAAGGAGATGATGGAAAATGAAATATGTCACCTTCATATGTAGTCGTGAAGGTCGAAGAACCACTAATACAAGTGGTTCTTTGAAGCCCCAACCAATAATTCAAACAAATTGTAAAGTCAGAATCACTGCATGTTTAGATATTCATGGGATCTAAAAAATTAACAAAGTCCACCTCGACTACAATCATAAAACAAGTCCTTCAAAATTGAAGTTGTATCGCTACAATCGAGAGATAAGTTCACATGTGAAATGGAAGCTTGAAGTAAATGATTTGGCGGGAATTTCATTGCACAAAAGCTACAACTCCGTAGTTGTTGAAACAGGTGGATATGAAAATCTTACTTACGTGGAAAGGACTGTCAAAATCATGTTGAACAAGTGGGAAGATTAAGACTTGGAAAAGGAGATACCGCAATAATACAGTCCTACTTTTTCAGGATGCAAGCCCAATGCTCAGGATTCTACTTTAGCATAGATTTGAAAGATGAGTCTCGATTGAGGAATGTATTTTGGACAGATAATAGGTGTTGACAAGCGTACAAGGAGTTTGACGACGTTGTCACATTTGACACCACTTACTTAACTAACAAGTATAATATGCCTTTTGTTGGCATTAATCATCACGGACAATCTATTTTGCTCGATTGTGGTTTGTTGTTCAGTGAGAACACATATTCTTTTGTGTGGTTATTTAGGACATGGCTTCAGTGTATGTACGGAAAAGCTCTCCATGGAATCATTACCAAACATGATAAGGCTATGCAAAATGCAATTGAGATTGTTTTTTCGAATACAAAACATAGATAGTGTTTGTGGCATATTCTGAAGAAATCACCATAAGAATTTGGATACCACGTTGATAAGGCTTCAATTTTTTCGAGCATACATAGATTAGTGCATAATTCGCAGTTTGTTGAAGAATTTGAAGATGGTTCGAAAGCGATGATCAACACGTATGACTTGTATAGTAGTGATTGGTTATCGGGATTGTTTAATAATAGAAGTCGTTGGGTTCCTTGCTATTTAAAGACCACATTTTGGGCAAGAATGTCAACAACTCAGCGCAGTGAGAGTATGAATATCTTTTTCAATGGGTATATTCATGCGAAGACCTCGTTGAAGCAGTTTGTTGAGCAATATGAACGAGCACTGAGGAATAGGGTTGAGAAAAAGTTTCAAGCTGACTTCAAGTCATACTCACAAATGGAAACATGTACAACAACATTCAAAATTGAGAAGCAGTATCAGAAGTGTTATACCATTTCAAAGTTCAGAGAAGTTCAAATTGAACTAACTGGGAAGGTTTATTGTGACATCATATCTACTACGGATGGTACTGTAGGGATGATCTACGAAATACGGGAGGTTGTCATGTGTGATTAGCGACGAATAATAAAAAATTTCTTTGTCTCATTCCAGAGAGATGTTTGTGAAATCTAGGGCTGGACAAATTAGGGCTGGACATGGTCCGGTTCGGTTCGGTTCTAACGAGAACCGAACCGACCCGAATTTTTCGGGTATTTAGTAAGTGGAACCGTCGGGTCCAAATTTAATTATGGAACCGTTCGGGTTCGGTTCCATTCGGTTCGGTTCGGTCCGGTTCGGTTCTATTCGGTTCCGTATTATAATTAAATTTTTTAATATATACAAAGTTACGTTAAATTAATTAATGATATATTTAATATTAGCTCTTACAAAATAACGTAGTTCAATCTTATGTGTTTCACGTCTCTCTTTGCTGAATTCTTCATAATTTTGATTATTAAAATCACAAAAAGAGAAAGATAACGAGCTCAAATAATTAAGAAAGATGTTGTAGAGTTTTAATTCGATTTTCTTCGATAGAAACGACACTACAGTAGAATAACAGATTTGGATAAAATTGAGGTCAATTTGATTAAGTCGATTTTGAACTGAATACTAGAAATAGGAAAATCATATTTTGTGGTTTGAACTAAATTTACTAGTTAACAAATTTATTTAGAAAAAATAAAATAATTTACTTATTTAAAATAAATTAATTAAAAATTTTACAAAGATTCGGTTCTTATTCGGTTCTTCGGGTCTTGGCCTAGAACCGAGAACCGAACCATACCCGTCGGTTCCTGATTCAAATACACCTCGTTGAAGCAGTTTATTGAGCAATATGAACGAGCATTGAGGAATAGGGTTGAGAAAACGTTTCAAGCTAACTTCAAGTCATACTCACAAATGGCAACCTGTACAATAACATTCGAAATTGAGAAGCAGTATCAGAAGTGTTATACCATTTCAAAGTTCAGAGAAGTTCAAATTGAACTAACTGGGAAGGTTTATTGTGACATCATAGCTACTACGGATGGTACTGTAGGGATGACCTACGAAATACGGGAGGTTGTCATGTGTGATGAGCAACGAATAATAAAAAATTTCTTTGTCTCATTCCAGAGAGATGTTTGTGAAATCATTTGCAGTTACCACTTGTTTGAATTTCGAGGAATCCTATGTCAGCATGTTATTGTGGTATTGATCCGTAATGATGTCACATCACTGCCTGAGATGTACATACTACAACGATGGAGTAGAGATATTTGTAGAGCACACACCAAGGTCGCAATGAACTACGATGATTTGGTAAGTACTCCAGAGCAGTTGAGATATGATGATATGTGTCGGGATTTTGCGGAGGTTACAAACCTTGCTAACGATGATGAAGTGTAGTCCCATTCGATAAAGGAGTAGATAATAACTAAAAAACAAGAGCTGCTCACGATAAAATCAGATAGTGGGAGTAATATCATTTCACATGTTGATAGTCAGTTCGCCTCGCAGTGCAACGAATCCAAAGACAATACCAGCGGGTGCGTACGCGATCCTATATCAACTAAAAGGAAGGGCACACCAAAGAAGCTTCAGAAGAAAAGTCCATTGGAGTCCTCTTCGAAGAAAACAAAGGTATGTTGGTCAGTCTTTTTATCAATTTAATAATATTCCGCTACAACAGATATGTAATACATGTTTACGTGTAGACTTCTACCAAAGGGAAGAGGCCAACATCGGGTCACAATAATACGCCATTGGTTGCACCAGTCATTCAAGCATCTCAACAATATTTAGTACAGACACCATTTTCGTATTCACAACTAATGTAGGTTAGTATATTTTAGTGATATAGTTTATTATGTTTTTTTTGTGTGAAACTAATAATTGAGTTATTGTTCGATATAGGACGACGCAGGAAGTCATGCTTACTTGCGCCGGCATCAAGTTTGGTCCAGCCAACGTCAACAAATCTCATATTTATTTCCCAAGGTTTACACAAGTTTAAATCTTTCCATTTTCATTCGATTTTTGATTTGGTGTGTGCTTATATTCATATTCTACAATAGGTCATTCAATTCCATACTACTATCCGCATTTCCCCCAACAAAGTGGCCCTGGCTAATGAACCGTGGCTTCAAACAAGCAGCTCGGCAAGAAGTCGTGGTAGAGGCTCAATGGTTTATCTTGAGGTCTTTTGTTTCAATCTACATCCTACAAAAGGGACACCCCCCACTGATTCTTGAAAAAAAGGAAAGAAAAAGTGTTGGCTGGTTATGTATTCTGTTTTTCATTTTTAAGTTCGAGTTGAAGACCTGATTTCTTTGTCAAGGGCTGACATTTGGCTAGTTTAGCATTTTTGCTAATGGTAATTATTGTTCTAATGTCTAGTTATTGTTGATGGTAAGTAAAGTTTGTGAAATACTTCGTGCCAATCTTTTACAGATTCCTTTTTGTTGCTAGTGAGTTGTTGTTGATGGTAAGTAATGCTGAGTTATTGTTGATGGTAAGTAATATCTAGTTATTGTTGATGGTAAGTAATGTTCGAAATGGCTAGTGAGTTGAGCTTTTACAGATTCGTTTTTGTGGGAATGCATTACAAATCTTTTTTCTTTTCTAATTACATCATAGGCTTAATGGCAGCATGTCTATGCAGAAAATTGAGATGTAACAGATTGTTATTGTCATAAATTATGAACACCTTCAATTCTTTTTGGAACAGAAATTGCATCATTATTTTCTTTTAAACATGATTTACTTGGGATAAAGATAATGTTATGGTATACACATTGTTAAATGATTGATTTATGCTTTAAACATTTAATGTATGCATCTCAATTTGTTAACTCGGTGATTGGCTGACAGTGCTTGCTGGAGTTATTGCACACAAGGGAAATGACACACAAATGCTTCAAATGCTAAAATAAGAAAATACCCAAAAAATAATACAACACAAACATTTTACTCATGATACTATACATATAAAAAAAGAGGGCCTTCATGGCATTCTTTGAAAATGAAAATTGTTGGGTTCTTTGATTTTTTTTCATCATCTCTCGGTATTACAAACCCAAACACAAAACTATTTTGGGTGCGAAAATGAATATAACTAATAATCATGCCAGCCCCTTTTCTTCTCCATTATCGTTTGAGGGCTCTTTTCTTTTGTGGAATGTCACGTTCAACGAAATTTCGATGTTTCGTTTCTCGACAATTCGAGCTAGATGTTCGTACATGCCTGGCAAATTGTCAACTTCCTCACTAACAGTAGGATTCATCACTTCCTCATTAATGAGACTCGACTCTCCACTTGATTCTTCTGTTCTTACCCAGTTAAAAAACCCGCAAGAGCTGCTGCAAGTTCTGAATAGTCTACCTTTGTTACTCTCTTCTTTTTCAACCGCGAAACATTTTTGAATTCCAACTACACACCATGGACAACGAACTTTCCTCTTGCAATCTTTGAAGTAGTGCTCTGTGCTTTTACAACTGTGACAAACACCATAATTCCTCCCTCTCATCCCTACATTGCAAACAATATTTAGAGTATTTCATTACAAACTAAAATGAAATATAGATCCTGAAAAAATAGCTCGATAAAAACTTAAGCAACATTCTATACCACCATAGGTATCTAACAAATAAATTCTACAATAAAATGTAGAATTAAAGAACATTCCAGCAACTGTCTCATGCTGCACGTCCAGGTATAACCGAAAATCATCAAAATTGAAATGGGATACTATCATCACCAGAAAAAACAGACCATATAAATCACAATTTAAATGTGCTCTCGTTTCACTTTCTCTAGCCAAATACAGTGATTTAATACTTATAAACAAATAGATTATGAAAGTAATTTATCATCTAAACTCAATAGGACCAATTTCAACAAGCTATAAATGCCTCTATTTTTCTGTACATATCAAAATAATGAAAATTCAATAATTAAAGTTTAAATCGGAACAAAAAAATCCATCGCATACCATGCCATAAGCTGCAAATTAACAGGTTTTCAAGAACATGAAAATTATACAAAAACCCCAAAAAAAATACCTTCACAACAAATGTGCAGAGAATATGAAACAAATAATAATCCTTACTCGCAAAATGGATCGGAGATAAGGTCTGAAGGCGTTGGCCTCTCAACAGATCCGTTGAACGACTCCGGCCAAAAATAGTCACGACTGCGACGGCAAAATGGGTAGGAGATAAGGGTTTATGCAAGAGTAATAGTTATACAACTGAAAACCTTGAGCTTTTTCACGGTTCAATTGAGCGAAATTTGCTGGAAAATTTCTTGTCAACTGATTTTCTATACGCCTAGCCGAATTGTTATTTCTCTATCATCTACCACGCATGAATGGTTGCTTAAAATTCAAACCACTTGTTGAAGCATGAAGGCACCTTATTTAATTTTTTTGGTATATGTTTGGTGCATAAAACTAGATACGTTTAAACACTATAATGAATAAGATTTTACTCTTTTTTAATTAATACCAAAGTTATATATAGCTCACGTTTGGTTCTGATTTTTCACCCAAAAAATCAATTTTTTAATCATTATTTTCCTAAATCAGCCATCATTTTTGACTTCTTCATATATAAGATCCACTTTTCTCTTTAACGGTCAAAAAATTGATTCTTATAATCACTACCGAACAGGCTCATAATATTGACATATCAACTTACAAAATACATCATTAAATTTAGGCATGGGCGCAGTTTGATTTGGGTTGGTTTCGACTCCAACTCGAAAACAAAACTAAATTAATCGATTTGGGTGAATTTCAACCAAAAGTAAACCACCCTAACTCTTAAATCAAACCAGACCAAACAGATTCGAAATCGGTTTGGACTCTAAGTCTAAATTGAATTTTTTTTTAAAAATTGTCCAAGTGTTGGGTCCAATTAGATTACAACAGCTAAAATTACTAAATAACTTTATATTATAAGAATTATTGAATAACAAATAAAATCAAGTTAATAGAGACAAATCAATAGAAAAATTAAGATTTTTGTTGCCTTTTTATGCGTATTATGTAGTCTGAATGTTTAAGTGTGAAAAAAAAATGTTAATTATAAAATAATGAGCTTGTAAAAGAAAACTTTCAGTACTATTACTTACCGGCAATATCATAGATTGGAAAGAATCGTGATATAGTTATTAGATTAGGGCTCATCTTTTTATTTTTATTTTTCTTAAGAATAAAAAAAAAAAGATAAACATGTAAGTGGGTTGGATTTGTTCGATTAACTAGTGGTGTGAGGCTTCAAACCATGATTGAACCAACCCACCATGATTTTGTTTAAAAAAAAACCAAATTAAACCAATTACCTACGTCAAACTGACCTAAAACAACCCGAGTTGGTTCGATTTGACAGATTTGATCGATTTTTTTAGTTTTTTTGCCAGGCCTAATTAAATCCATCCGTGGAATATTTCAAAATCCATAAAAAAAACTAAAGAGAAACACTGAAGTCAAGATGATGCATTTACTGGCTTTCATTAAGTCTCCTATTATTTAATAATTAACAATGCGTATTTTTAATCAATGGCTTGAGTGGTAACAGTCAATGCTATTTGACATGATTCATTCTCTTAATCTAAGGGTGCGTTTGATATCAACATTTTTTATGAAAAGTATCTTTTTCTCACCTAAATTCTCATTTTTGTGCTATTTGATTAACTATTTTTTCCTTGAAAAATATTTTTTCACTTTTATTCACATGACCTGATTTTCCTTAAAAACAGGAAAATATTTTATTTGGATGGAGTGAAATTTTATTTTCCATAACTTCCTACACGTTGCCAATCTCCCCCCTCTCTCTCCTCTTCACCACGTTAAAAAACCCTCTTTGATTACACACCATTGAACCGAAACCCATAAAAACGATATCGATAAAAAAAAAAAAAAAAAAAGCCATATAAACGCAGGACGAAACCAAAAGGAAGAACAAGAAATAGAGCTTCCACACAATCAAACCAACAAGAAGGAAGAAAAAATCAAGGCCCGAATGAATCGTTGCTTCCAATCTGCCCATTCACTGCAAAAGGTCGACAACGAGCCGTTGATTACATCGATTAAGGTATATTTCACCGCACTTTTAAAATTTGCGAATGTATGATCTTCGATGCGAGTGTATTTAGTTTCAAATTCTACTAATTGTGACTGTATTTATCAGATTGCTCTAATTATTTCTCCTCTCCAAAAAGTATGTAAAAGTCGGTGAAGAATACAGAAATTTGACATCAAGTAGTACTAGATAATAACTACTGGGTATGGTTGAATGATGCTCTTGGTTCTTCGGTCTCATTTTAGGGTGGATTTCTTAGTTGATTTCTGTTTGTCTGTAGTCTTTTACAGTGTTTAGATGTTTTCTATCGATTAATTTACCAATTTATGTGTTATTGGCGAGCTATAGTTTCTACTAGAAGGGATTACTGTTTGTTTGCCAATTGAACTTAAATCATTCTGTTGTGTGAGACCTCTCAACGGTGGCTGAACCAAAGCACAAGGTGATAAATCAGGAATCATTTAGTCAAAGAGAGATGTTGAAGTGCTTGGTGGATTCGTGGAACCACAATGTGGACCGCCGCATGCTAAGGCAGGTGCCTAAGAATTGGAAATCGGAGATAAAGAATAGTGAGGGTGGTCATTTTGCTGACTAGGGGCAGAAATCTGGCTTGGATCAGATGGTCAGATGGTGCTGAGGTATGACAGTTTAGATAGGGTAGTGGAACTTGTTGAGCATTTGGTCATGTTTAGGATGTTGTCAATTTCGTGTTTTCATTTGTTTAATAATGCTTTACTTTCGAAGAAAGGAGTAGCTTATGCATTCTTTAAAGTTGTGGCTGTTGTGAATTTTGACATTGAGTGGTAAATTGCTAAGCATGTAGTTTGAGATGATAAAATTGTTTGGTGTCAACCACGGGACCTTAAAAATGTGAGTACTTGAGTTTGAAGGGGTTAAAGGAAATATGAAGTGTTATGTATTCAAATTGTGAGAAAGGTCTGGAATTCTTCGAAAAAGTGTTGCTCTCTCCTGACTTTCTTCATACCATGAAATATTTATGTCATCTTTAGAGCATCTGAAACATACAATTGCACAGCTCCATAGAACGTCATGATGATGGTGAGATATCTCTCTATAGAACGGACTCTTTTCTTGCTTGAATATTTTGGAGTATTTTCTGATCCTACAAGATGTACAAGAATCTTTGTCAAATTAGATTCAGTTCTATCCTATATTGCATGTGATGTCCTTTTTGATCTCAAACAAGAAGAAATAGATGAGACTAGTATTTGGTGATTACCTATGTTATTGTGCTCATGATTGGTGTCTGCCCAGACTTCTTTCCTCTGTTTTTCTCAACCCTCGGTGTCTCTGTCTATCTATCTGTTAATCCTATGTTTAATTTTTTTAATCAATGAGCATCTTCCCGTGTCTTTCACCTTTTGAAGTCACCATTTATCTGAGCATCATGAATTTGGAGTTGCTATGAGCATATGCATGTGCCTCAATATACACGCAAATTAATGTTGGGTTGGGTGGGGCATAATATTGCTGATGCCTAATTATTTAGCGCCCTTTTGGCTAAAAAAAATTAAGTTTTATGTGATAGTGTGGATCTGTTGCAATAACACTATGTAATTACAAGTTGTGGACTTATTTTGCTACAATTTTTGAGTTATATTTTAACTTAGTATGTCGTGGTACAATTCTATCTAGAGGTTCCAAACAGTGCGGGTTTATCACAAGTAATTTATTACTCATCTTCTCTAATTATAACAAGTAATCTATATTTATATTTTTATTTAACGTGTTAGTTCGTAACATGGCTACAACAAGGAATCAACGTCGACGCGAACGACAACATTTAGGTTTATTTTAGACAATGATCATACAAGCGATTGTGATATATAATGATATTAAGCGTCATGAAAAACATCTACCTAGAGCTCCTCATACCAATTGGGATTCCGAAAGAGAGATGACACTCACACGAATGTTTGGCATGAGTGATATGATATGTCGCGATCTACTTAGGATGACAATAGGTCCGTTTCAAAGATTATGTGCTCTTTTGTGAACGTACGAGTTGGTTGATTGTAAATTTGTCCGAATTGGGGAACAAGTGGCTATTTTTCTGAATACCGTTGGGCATGATCAATGTAATTAAGCTGGGCGTTTTACTTTCTTTCGATCTGGTCAAACGGTGAGCTTTTACTTCCATGGAGTCTTGCAAGCTTGTCTTCGACTGTATAGAGATGTGGTGATTAACGCCACTCCTCATAACTTTTCATACGAGAAGGAAAATGTAAAGCCATATTACTCATTTTTCCAAGTTCGAGGTTTGTTGTAATTTCATTATATCTCTTATAACTACAATATTATAATATTTTAAAAATTATTCTTTTTTAAAGGATGTTGTAGGGGCAATAGATAGTACACATATAGATGCAAACGTCCCCTTAGAAGAGCAAGTTAGGTATCGCAATAGAAAACAAGTGATTTCTCAAAATGTTTTGGCAGTTTGCACATTTGATATGAAATTTACATATGTGCTTGCCGGTTGGGAGGGATCCGCACATGACAGTCGATCGTTAAGGAGTGCAATATTAAACCAAGGGCATAAGCTAACAATTCCTTTTGGTAAGTTGTATTACTATTTCGAAAAAAAATTCTTTCATGTACAAGTTATAATATAATAACAACTGTAACAGGTAAATATCATCTTATCGACGACGATTTTCCATCGGTTTCAAGTTTCTTGCACCATATCGTGGGACTCGTTACCAAGGTAGAGACATTGAGGGCCAACATAATAAAAGTAGTAAATAGTTATTCAATTTTCGACATTCATCTCTTCGAAGTGTCATTGAGAGGATAATTGGTTTGCTTAAAAAAGATTTGTATATTTGAGATATCAATCCTATCACGACATTGACACACAAGCAAAGATAGTCCTTGCTTGTTCTGTCGTCCACAACTTCTTAAGGATTGATGATGTAGAAGATGTTTGTGAGGAGGACTTAGTTAGTAGGGATGACGAGGTTAACCCTACACACATTGGGGTACCTGAGGATATGAAACTCCAAATGCTCACATATTTTTTACATCTCAAGAAGCATAGTCTAAAAGAGGAATACAATTGTTGAGTTAATGTGGGCTGATCATCGTCCCAATCAGGATGCAGGAGTCGATTTCGATTGAAATATGATTTTTTTTTTAAATGTTGTTATGCAATGGATCTAAACGTGACACACTTTCATGTGTAACTATTGCTTAGAATAAAGACATATTGATATTAGACAGATTTTTTTCCACATTCTGATAACTGTTGACATAAGTTTGCTAGAATTTTAAATGTTGTAATTTGATTTGATGTTATCCATTTTGAATACATTATTTCTACATGTTTGTATTTAATGGTCAACCGTAAACTTTTAATCTTGGTATACAGATTTTATGGCACATAATCGACGACACTCTACGGCACCGTTTTGGGTGCCTAGACCAACCATCCATTCAGATAAGCTCAAACCAAGTGGATCCCAATGCTAGGAATCGTCATGTGCGTTGGTGCAATGGATGGTTGTATGATTACTACATTACTACATAAAGTGTCGGTCGGTCACAAAAGGAGTGACAATGGGTTTTCATCATATCACGTTTCCAAAGCAATTGAGAGCGTGTATAACAGATGTGGAGTCATGGTCTCAGATAAGAATGTAAGGGCGCGATTGAAGACTCTAAAAAAAGAATTTCTCAAGTTCGCCAATTATTGAGTATGAGTGGTTTTGGGTTAGATACTGACACTGGATGTGTCACGGATGATGTTATAGCTTGGGAAGAGTTTTTGAAGGTACAATATTTCATCAACCAACTTATTAGGCATTAAATATTAGTAGGATAGTATCTTTTGAACATTGATTACGCGTGGCATTTATTCCGCTATTTTTCCTTTATAGTGTAAACCAGAATTCGAAAAGTGGAGGACCAAACTTTGGTCTCGTTATGATGATATGGAGGCTATCTTTAGTAATGACTCTGCTACGGGAGATCGCCCTGTAACCGACATTGATAATTTATCCCCTATATTTATAATATGACAGATCCTAACAAGTGCTTTTTTTTTCAGATAAAAATATGAATGAAGTTGACGACCAAAACAAGGATATAGATCCAACCCCAGTCCGAGCTCCAAAGCGTAACGTTGATGGAGGAACTAACAAAATTCGACGACAACAACGTAGCCAACCTAATGAAGAGAGTCTCATAACCCTATCAAGCATTGCTGAATCGTCAAAAAAAATTGCTAATGCAATGGAGATTCAAGCAACATTAGATACGCTAAATCACATCAATTGGCAATTGGTTCTAGAATAATTACAAAGCATGAAAATTGAGAAGTGTGACATAATGCAAGTCAAGAAAGTATTTCGATCGGGCGAGGGTCTGGTTAGAGTATTTATGAGCTTGACCGATGAAGAATTCATGCGTGATTTGGTCTTTGAGAATATTGGTCGTGATCCGCCTCCAGTATTTTAAGATGGCATGATTGGATAATTGAACAAATATATGTAAAAGTATGATATCAATGTTAGTTTGAAGTGCTACTCACTATTTTTTTTTTTTTTTAACTTTTTGTTCTTCTATTTTATGTTGGACATAATCTCATCATTGTTTATTTGATTATCTGATAATTATTTTTTATTAGAATGAAAATAATTAATTTTCGTATATGAGTATAAATTTGAATGGGTGAGGTTGTTTTTCTTATTGTTATAAATTTTATTTTTTTCGATGACGTTATCTTCAAAATACAACTTTTTTAAAAAAACATAATAAGAGATATTACTCAATATATTCAATTGTGAAGGGACCATTAGTTAGTACATCAAAAAATTGACTGACTGCATGTCATGGAAAAAAATGACAATTTCCATGGAAAAGATATAATTTCCATAGAAAATAATGGTTGTCAAACAACTAAAGTTGGAAAAAAATTGGTTATTTCCATGGAAAATAATGGCTATCAAACACCAAAAGATGGAAAATTGCAATATTTTCTAGGTAGAAAATCAAGTCAATCAAACACCTACAATTAACTTTTTCCATGTAAACAATTTTTAGGCAATTGAATTGTCTAGAAAATATTTTCTTTCTATGCAAATTTCATTCTCACAATCAAACGCACCCTTAATGAATGTAAAGATCCAGAAAAGGGCAACTGTTGGATTGGTCCATATGTTACAAAATCATAGGAGTTGTAGCACGTGGAATGATTTATCTTCATAGACTCTCATCTACAGATTAGACATCGTGATTTCAAAGCTAGCAATATATTACTAGGTGGATATATGAACCCAAAAACATCGAATTTTGGCATGGCGAATATTTTTGGTGGTGATCAATCTCAAGGAAATAAGAAGAGGATTGTCGAAACATAGCACGTTCTACTTCCTATGTATTGTGTATGTCTTCGTTCATCTTGACTTGTATATGATGTGGAATGGGGTTGATTGTCGTGGTTACATGGCTCCAGAGTACGCAACGCGTGGCCACTTCCCAGTTAAATTGTTTTTGCGTCATGAATTTGGAAATCATAAGCGACAAGAATAATAACTTCTACAAATCAGATGGTACAAGCTCGAGCCTGGTAAGCTATGTGCGTGCAAAGTTCTAATTCTACTTGTAAATTTAGAATACCCAAAAATGGGCATATTATAAAATACCGTTGGTAATAATTAAAATTATTTATTTATAAAAAAAAATTAACTTCACTTTAACCTACTTTTGCCTGAACACGCTTAGAGACTTTGAAGAAATAGTACACCCTTGGAATTGATGGATCCAACTTTGAAGTAGTCTTATCCGTTGGATGAATCCAAATTGGCTTAGTGTGTGTTCAAGATAATGTTGATAATAGACCAAGAATTACTCAAAAAGTTCAATAATGGCAGAAATCATCTTATTTTTATGCGTTTCTCGTCTTTAACTCACACAAACCGGGCTAATTTTGTCTAAGTTGACAAAGGGTCAAAACAAAGCCAGCTCGGTCCACTGGAACAAAGCATCAACCAATGACTTAGACCGGGTAAGTCCAGTATGCGGTCCCTGTGGATCAAGTCAACACTAAAATTTGGCATGAACCGTATAATAAGTAATACCTTGTTTAATTGCAGAACTGGTCTTATTTTTAGTTATCAGTTTGTTTAAGTTAGATTGAATTGACTGCCTCCGAGTTTTAAAAATAAAACTTTATGAAATCAGCAGTCAGTCCTGTCGTCAATAAAGATATTGTCAGATCAATCTTTTTGTCCTCACCAAACATGTAAAATTTGTTTAGGTCAAATTATTCACATTGGTAACACTCATTTCTTGCCTCAGCCGAACAAGAACTTTCGCAATATAGTGATCCTTCAATTTATTACTGCTACCAAGCACGAATGCTACCTTAAAATTTAAACCACCTTTTGAAGCACCAAAAATATAGATTCTAATTATCGTGCATGTTTTGTATGTAGTATTAAACCGGATTAGACATCATATTGAACAAGAATTCAACTTATTTTTCTTCTTTAATTTCATTTAGTTAATATTATTCGATCAACCTTACCAATTATATCATTAGATATTTATGGTTTATCCTATTTTATTATTATTAGGCTAAATTTCAAAATCAATGTGAGTGGCAGTTGGAAAAATATAGAATTTTCGAGGTGGAGGGTGGCTGACGAATGGCAAGAGTTTTAAAAGTCTAATATTAGCGGCCAGTCCTGTCCTCATCAAAGATATGGTCAATTCTCTCTTGGAAATTTCCAAGAAATTAATTCGTGAAGTGTGCTGTCTTGTTTCGCCATTAATCATAACAATTGTACACAAATATAATATTCATGTGGGACAAATTGAGGAATGTTGGTGGGAATGGTAAATAAAAAAAGTTATTGAGATTAAAATATAGCAGTAGCAGACCATGTCGGCCTTGAGCATCTCTGCATATTTTTTGTTGTTTTGCTTTCTTCCTTCCTTTAGTCTTTCTTCCTTTAGCACGAGAAGGGTTAACTCCTTGAATTATCTTTACACTTCCTGCTCAAATCCAACTACGTACAGTCCTAATAGCACCTATCAGTCCAACTTGAATCAACTTCTCCTTACTTTATCCTCAAATGCTACCCAGGAGAATGGATACTATAACTATACTGTTGGCCACAGCCCTCCGGACACAATCTATGGTTTCTTTCTATGTAGAGGTGATGTTAACACCGATGTCTGTGAGGAATGTGTGGAAAATGCTACGACTATAATCTTACAACGTTGTCCCAACCGAAAAGAGGCAACAATTTGGTATGATGAATGCATGTTACGGTACTCAAATCAATCCATCTTCTCCAGGGTGGATTTGTCACCTGGGATTACCTTCTATAATAGAAGGAAATTCGGTGGTAATCCATATTATTTCATCACTGTATTAGTACTTACGATGAACGAGACAGCACAGCAGGCTGCTCATGAATTCTCTGGCAAGAAATTTGCTACCAAAGAAGCAGACGATATAGCATCTGTGAAGTTGTATACCCTGGCACAGTGCACACCTTATCTTTCTAGAGAAGATTGTGACATCTGCCTTCGAGATGCCATCTCCACGTTTCCAACATGTTGCGAATATACGGAAGGGGTAACAATTCTTTCCCCTACAACGCCACAACCGTCCCTGCACCTGCACCTGCACCTGCGCCTAATAACAGACAAGGTAACGTCCTAATGCAAAACATCTCTTTTCCGTCAATTGTCCCGCATAATTAAACACTTCCTAACCTAGCACTACATATATCTGTATATCTCCATCAATTTTTCAGAATTTTAAGTTCAACATAGGCTAGAAAACTTGTACTAAGTCAGTAAGATACTCGAACAACTATAGATAGAAGCAAATTTTGAAATCCCGATTTACCTTTTTATTCTTAATACAGGAAACAGGAGAATCTCAAGACAAATTATTATTGCTATTGTTGTTCCAATTGTCGTTGTCTCCTTAGTGATCTTGCTGGTAGGCTTACGTTTCTTGACTGGGAGAACGATGAAGAAGAAACAATATGGTAGTATAAAGGAGAGAAATGGTAAGCCACGAATGGTCAAAAAAGAAAAGTAGAAAAATCCCCTTTGGATCTAATCTCTATACACGGTATTTAGATGGCTTGATGGCATGAAATGAGCTGATTTACATTTTCTACATATTCAACAGTTTTTGCTGAATGCATCGATCATTACTTTTGCACCTTTAGCACCTGTTTGGGGAGCAATTATTTTTCACACAATATAGTGCTTGTTTGTTATAGGTTAAAAGTCAATTAAAATCAATTTTTTAATCGTTATTTCACTATTTCAGTCATTATTTTTTTAATTATTCTCTTACAGGTAGGATCCATATTATCTCCAACGGTCAAAAAATCAATTATCAAAATTCCTACCAAACAAGTTCATAGGTTTTTTGATCATTGGAAAGGGACCAATTTCTGTCAAAACTGACATGCCAACAACAATCAACCATTCAAATGCATATTATATTGTGCCAATTGTCATTTTTATCCTTCATTGCTGGACAAGTTTAAAATCTTAAAAGGGCACCCACATCATTTTGCCTGCCCACAACATTTGACCATTTTAAAGGTCACTGTAATGGTTCAATAATTACTGCATTTTGGGTCCCACTTACCTTCTCAAACGGTAAAATAATGAAGTTAAACTTAGCCAAAATGACTCCAATATAAAAGTTTTCAAGAATTTAAATATAAAGAGTTTTCTTCTTTGTCTTGCACGTTCGTTTGTTTGTTTTTCTTTACTCGTGATTTGCTGTTTTTGTGTAGAAGAAGATGAAATTTCGACGGTTGAATCCCTGCAATATGAGTTAAACACTATTGACCTTGCTACAACCAGCTTTTCTGCAGACAATAAAATTGGAGTAGGTGGATTTGGTGACGTTTACAAGGTGATTTAAGGAATATAGTTTCTCTATATTTGGCATAATATAATATAAATCCTATTTCACTACTAGCTTGCATTCACGCTTTCTTCTATCGTTATATAAAGTATAAACATATGGCTAGTTTGGTGAAGTGTAAAGTAGTCCAAACTCCATATAAGTTGGCACTAAAATTAATGTGATATTTATCCCTCTAACTATATAGTATTATATTACCGTCTAATATTGTGTACCAAACAATGCATGAAGGGTATCCTTCCAGATGGGCGAGAGATAGCTGTGAAGAGACTTTCTAAAGGTTCAGCACAAGGTGCAAAAGAATTTAAGAATGAGATCGTAATCGTCGCCAAGCTTCAACACAAGAATCTAACGAGACTACTAGGATTTTGTTTGGAAGGAGAAGAGAAGATTCTCATATACGAATTTGTGCCAAATAAAAGTCTTGATCACTTTCTATTTGGTTAGCATCAACGTGGATACTTCTTTTCATTGAATTTCCTTGCATTCGCATCCATGGAACCTGCATCAGAATTTCAAAATCTAAGTTATTCGCAATCAATGCTAATTAACTTGATTCATTTCCTTCATGAATGTAAAGATCCAGAAAAACAGCAGCTCTTGGATTGGTCAAGACGTTACAGGATCATTGAAGGAATCGCAAAAGGAATGCTTTACCTACATGAAGATTCTCTCCTTCAAATTGTACATCGTGATCTCAAAGCTAGCAATATACTCTTGGATGGAGACATGAACCCAAAAATATCGGATTTTGGCATGGCGAGGATTTTTAATGTTGATCAATCTCAAGAAAATACTATTAGGATTGCTGGCACATAGTAAGCTCTTGTTTATATTATTTTGAATGTCTACATTTATCTACCCTTATGATGTGGAATCGTATTTTTCTCTTCTAGTGGTTACATGGCTCCAGAGTACGCATTGCATGGTCAATTTTCTGTAGAGTCCGACATTTTTAGTTTTGGCGTCTTGATTTTGGAAATCATAAGCGGCAAGAAGAGTAACAGCTTTTACAAATCACATGGTACAAGAGACCTTATAAGCTATGTGAGTGCAAAGTTCAATTCCACTTGTAAATTAGGTATTCGAATGTTCATATTAAATCATATTAATAGGTAAATAGGAATAAAATTTCTAAATTAATCAAATATGTTTTAAGGCTAGTTTTGCTTGCACAGGCTTGGAAGCTTTGGAGAAATGGTGCCCCCTTGGAATTGATGGATCCAACTTTGCAACAGTCTTATGTTTTGGATGAAGTCATTCGATGCATCCAAATTGGCTTATTGTGTGTTGAAGAAGATGTCAATAAAAGACCAAAAATGGCATTAATACTTCTTATGCTTAAAAGTTACTCGGACAATTTACCCATTCCTCGACGACCTGCATATTTTATTTCAAGTGGATCGGATAGCATGGCAAGAGAGACAGACCCCGATCAACCACAATCTATGAATGAAGCATCAATCAGTGAATTGTGTCCAAGATAGTCAATTTTGTGTCATTGAAATATTGTTAGACGTGGAAATGTGATTACTCAAAAAGGGCAAATCATTTATATGATCGTCTTTGTGAAAAGATTATATCCTGAGCACTTGATAATCTTAAAATACCTCAATTTTTCATTGTCGCCTCTTTGTATTAAATATCTTTAATTTTATTGTCAAAGTACGTAATTTTTTATTTAAAGGTGAAAAATGTAACATGGGTATGAAAAAAAAAAATCACTTAAAAAGTAACTTCTACTATTTCTAAGCTTGACATAAAAAGGTTGAACCCTAACCTTAAGGGTCCCTCACCGCCCCTGCCCTGGAGTATCGTGAGAGAGGTAAATTGCAGGTTATGCCTCCAAGGGTACAGGATAGAAGGCTGCTTGTACACTTGCACTTACCCAAGAGCGAAATCCATATTTCAGGATTCGAATCCTTGACGCGACAACCTCAAGTGAAGCTGGATTTTTCCACCCTCCCCTTTTACCACTTGGAGATGTGCCCTGGGAGCTTTCTAAGCTTGACATAGTTTTCATTTGTTGTTGCTATTGTTCCGTTTAAATAAGTTTTTTTACCCCATTCCCAAACCTTATAAAAAAGAAAAATTGAGGCAGTGCTAGGATAGAATGGAGCTTATTTTCAAAAATTTATTGGTAATGCAATTTTTTCAATTGGTCGTACGGTTATTTTATTCGATTCAAAACTATATATCTCATTTAACTTTTATTAAAGTCTACGAAAAATCTAGCTACCATTTGGTAGAAACTCTAATATAAGTTAAAGTTCCGCAATACATACAATTAATATTAACAACACATTTTATGGTATTTACAACTTTTTAGCACACATTTTATCAATTTTTATTAAAATATACTAAAAATCTAATTTTAATTCTTGCCAAACAAGGGGCCTACTTTTAACAATTTTGCTATATTAATATCTTGGTTGACAGTTTAGTTTATATTCCATGATATGTGGCACACGTTTTACTTTTAATTTGAACAATACTTAAAACTATCAATAATCTCATATTTTACACATCATGAAATGTCAACAAAGATATACAAGTAGCTTAATTTTAATTTCAATTCCCATCAAACAAGGGTTGAAAGTAAAAGCTGATCAAATCAATAAGTATTTTATTTATTACGCTTCTGTTTTACAATTATTATTTGGGTAAAGTGAAGTTTTGAATAGTTATTTTTTTTTAAAAATATGTGGTTAAAAAATAAGAATAAATTTTAGATTTACATATAAAATATTTTTATTATGTAAATTTATAGTTGAAAATGAGTATATGCAAAAAAAAAAAGAAAAAAAAAGGAATTTTAAATTAATGACTGTCAAACAAGGCTAAATAAGAAAAGAGCACATAACATGGCTTCTACACTTATTTAGCAACTTTTGATGCTCTTGGCGAACCTGCATTCTTTATCCACAGTAGAACACATAACATTCCCACAGTGCAAGATTAAGACAAATTCACGTCAACCTCGACAGGCTTCTCTATAAATGAAGCATCAATTACTGATTTATATCCAAGATAGAATATTGTCATCAAAAGCACGAGAAATAAATAAGACTTTTGTTGTAAAAATTTTGTCAGTGGACTAGTTAATTATGATTTTCCCACTTTGTTTATCCTTTTATGATTACCTTTGCTCCAATGGATCAGAAAATCCCCCCACATATCGTTAAAGTCATGTTTGTTATGTAATATTGAATAGAGTGATATATTAAATTTTAATTCATGTTTTTTCCTTCATTAATATTGTTTATACCGTACTTTAGAGACCACGTTATCAAAAAAAACACAATCGTTTGTTTCACACGTCAAAAAGGGACAAAGGAAGTGCAAATGGTTGTACACGCCTTCGATATTTTTCATGTTTTCTATTAGTTTCTTTTAATAAAGTATGTTAATTATTTTCCCTAATGCTTTCTCGCCTTATCTTTAAAACCAGAAATAAATTTGTACCGCTAGCCTCATCAAACTTAGCTAAAATGGGGACGTCAGAAATTGTTTACATATATCTTTATAAGGACAGTCTGGACAGGAGAAAAGACCTTAGCTCTGGAAACAATATTGAAATTAAAACTCTAACGTCTTTCCAATACATTAACCGCGACAAATACCTACATAGAGTGAGATATTGATTATGCGAATAATCAAAGTATTTGCATGCAATTTGGTTAGATTACTAACATCTGTGACACCGTACATATAACGCGTAGTCTAATTTCTTCCATACAGCCAAACTAGAACATCCGGAAAGTGATGTTTTCCTACTTAATATTTTGAAAAATAAAGAGAAGCTGAGTCAAGTGTTTTGAAGTGTGAAACGTGCAAAATCCGGTAAAAAAAATCTTCATGATCACTCGAGTTTTTAAAGAATTTCATTTTGATCACCAAACTACTTTTTTTACAATTCTAGGCATTCAAGTTTCCAAAAATTTTGAATCTTAATTCTCCCCCGTCTGTTGGGCACCAACTGGATTTCGTTTGGAAAAATTTATACAAGTAAAAGCGGTAAGCAAATGATGGAAAATGTTGTTCAATAAATCAATAAGCATGTGTGTGGAAAGAAAGAGGGGATGGGAGCCAATACTTTCGCATAGGCCAACAGACCATGCGGTCGCATAGCCATTAACCGAAACATAGAGGTCGGGTTTTGTATAAACCATGCAACCACATGGGAATACACCATGCGGTCGCATGGTAGTTTTGTAGTGCCGTTGGAGGCGGTTTTTGATTCAAATTTGGAAGCCTTTCACTTATACTTTTGGCACCACTTCGTATAGCAATGTTTCAAGGCTATAAATATGTGGTTAATGATTATTCTAATTTTAAGAAAAGCAAATGATAATATTTGTGATCATAATCTTCATTCCACAAAGAAGAAATCAAAGTTTTCTTCTTCCATATTCAATTCTTCCCTCTTGTGTTCTTCAAATTCGGGTAGAAAATCATTTGTACTTTTGTGATTTTCTACAATAAAGCTTGATCAATCCTTCAAAAATGTTTGCCACGAGACCCTTTAAGCACCAAAATTGTTATCGAGAGGGGACAAATATCATTTGAAGACAACGATATAATGTCGTGTTTGAGCCTTTCATATTCGATTTGTTCTTCACATTTATTCCATCTTCTTGGTCACTTTTCTATATTATTTCTTCTCCGTTTCCCCGTTGATGTAAATTTCCCAACAATCTCAAATGATATTTTGCAATGGAGAATGAAATATGGCGACAATCAAATTGATGGATTGAAACTTTGTTCGTGAGGATTGTTTGATGGCATTACTTTGTAAAATGGTTCGACCAGTAGAAGAATATGAATCCAAATCTTTGTGTAAGTCGAAGTTGCTCTCCAAATTCAGTAAGTTAAAATTGTGTTTCGATTTCAAGCATGCATGAGGTATGTGAATATAAAATATGCACAACATTGATGTTATATTCCAATAATCTTAAGACGATAATTTTGTGAATTTTATATTCTAATTTTTTTTTTAGAATTTTATATTCTAATTTTTATTTAGAATAAAAAAATTATTCTATCAGGTGCATTCTTTGCACTTTACATGCAATTTATTTACAAGTAGTCTTTGCATAAAAATTGGATGTATTCATAATATGCTACATATAAAAGGTTGAAGCAATTCGGTCATAATAGTTTTAATAATATATCCACTATCACATGCTTATGTGTATGCTTTATATGTATAAATGAAAGAAGAAATTTACAGTACATTCCTTTTTCATGGACGGTGGGAACTTGCATAATTTTTGTGACCATTAGTTTGCATCTCTCCATTTATTAACCGTTGCCTATATTTATGTCGAAATGATTTGTGTCAGTATTATGAATTCCAAATAAGTAGGTTTATTTGGTACCTATTCAATTTAAACGGTATGTTGGTTAATAAAAAAACCCACGAGTCGTGATTTAAAATAAATAAATAAGTACATTGATTCATCTGCATCATTTGGAGATATGTTAACTTGTCATATGAGATAAGTGCTTTTTCGCGATTATCCATGAATCATGCTAAACAGGGAAACATGTTATTTGGAAATAAGACATTGAAAATTAAAATCTGATTATGGTTTATTTTAATTAGTAATTGAAGAAAAATATGTGTTCATTCATTCGAAGAATATTATGAAATATTTTAGGATGAAATTACATGAAAATGTGTGTCTTTTCATATGAAAGATTATAACTTTTGGTATAATTAATTTCCAACGGGTGTCTCTTAGTAGAGATCAATTCTAAGAGACGTGTCCTTTCGTAGGGTAGTGTCTTTTGAGAACACAACTTATCGATTTGCGCAAAATTATATTTATATAAGAGTATGACAAAATATAGTTTTGTCCTAATTATTTTGAAGTGGAAATTGCTTGCCCAATTTTTAGGATATGGAAACATTTTATGAAGGATAAATAATGTCTATAGTTGGTGGTGTTGCCGGATATTTTTGAAAATTGTAAAAATGATCTTATGCAAAATTATATTTGCAAAATGTGCTTTTGTCCAAACATGAATAAGGTAAAAATATGCCTTTATTAATCTATATGATATAATGTGATCTTGTGAAAATGACAAAGTGCAATTCTTGTAAATCAAGATGTTTAGTCTTATTTCATTGATTGAATTTACTTCAATTATAAAACCAATTGAGTTGGTTTATGCTTGGAAAAGTATTGTTGGTCTATGAGATGACCTTGATCAAATTGTGTGATCAAAATCAAAGATAGTTGGATTAAAGTAAATTGTGACTTAACAACCACTTTCTGTACTAAGACATTCATCGGCTTATCAAAGTGATAAGTGAATTAAACTATAAAAGAATTAATAAGTTCAAGTATCATCCCAAATGTTGGGGTTAACATATTAGTTCAAGTATAACTTGAAATGTGGGGGTTAACTTTAATGATTATGAACTTAGATGAGAAGTTCAAAGACTTGTGGATGCAATAATGCTAAATTGCATATGCATTCCTGATGAAGGAATTGTGGGGGAACCTAGTTTACAAGTTACCATTAAAGGTAGAGAAGCCCTTATAATTATAAGGAGAATATTCATACCGTTGAAAATCATGGTAATGCCTCTACAATGAGAAGTGAATACCCA